AAATAAATAAATAAATAAATAAATAACATATTAAGCCATGAAAAGATGCGAAGGAACCTTAAATATATATTACTAATTGAAAGAAGCCAATCTGGAAAGCCTACATACTGTATGATTCCAACTGTATGACTTTCTGGAAAAGGTAAAACAACAGAGAGAGCAAAAAGAGGAGGGATGAATTGGTGGAGCACAGGATTTTCTGGGCAGTAAAACTATTCTGTATGATGCTATAATGGTGGATACACGACATTATGCATTTGTTAAAACTCAGAGAACTGTACAATACAAAGTGTAAACCTTAATGTAAACTGTGGATTTTAGTTAATAATAACATATCAATATCGGTTCATCAATTGTAACAAATGTACTTCACCAGTGCAAAATGTTAACAATAGGGGAATCTGAGTAGCGGACAGATAGGCTATAGGGGAACTCTCTGTTCTATATGATAATTTTCTGTAAGACTAAAACGGCTCTCAAAAATAAAATCTATTAAGTTAAAAATATATATTCTGCTCAATGAATATCGAATAGAATTGTGATATTTAAAAAATGGACAGGGGCTGGCCCATGGCTCACTCGGGAGAGTGTGGTGCTGATAACACCAAGGATCTCATATAGGGATAGCCGGTTAGCTCACTGGGTGAGCATGGTGCTGACAACACCAAGTCAAGGNAAATCTATTAAGTTAAAAATATATATTCTGCTCAATGAATATCGAATAGAATTGTGATATTTAAAAAATGGACAGGGGCTGGCCCATGGCTCACTCGGGAGAGTGTGGTGCTGATAACACCAAGGATCTCATATAGGGATAGCCGGTTAGCTCACTGGGTGAGCATGGTGCTGACAACACCAAGTCAAGGGTTACCAGTCATCTTAAAAAAAATAAATAAATAAAAATAAATAAAAAGATAGATAGATAGATAAATAAATAAATAAATGGGCAAAGGTTTGAATAGACATTTCTCTAAAGAAGATATACAATGGTCAATAAGGGCAGGGACAGAAAAAGATGCTTAACATCATTAGCCATTAGAGAAATGCAAATCAAAACCACTTCATTTCATTTGAAGTGAAGATACCATTTCGTACCCATTAGCATGGCTATTATTTTTTTTAAAAAAAACCATTCAGGAACTAAAATGGCGATGGGTTCGGAGCGCCCGTGTCAGGAAACAGCGCGATCCTGAGAGCT